ATATATATAAATAATCCGCTGAGACCACTAAGTGCTGCCTGCTTAAGTGTGGGTGAGCTACAAGGAGTCACATCTCTGAGTGAAAATGATCACCCCTTGTGCTGGATAGTTTAAGTCAACCTGACACCAGCTAGTCATCTGAGAGGAGAGAACCTCAATTAAGAAAATGTCTCTATAAAATTGGACTGTCAGTTATCCCATAGGCATTTTCTTTTTGTGATTGATAGAGGAAGGCCAGTCCATTGTGGGTGGGACCATTCCAAGTCTGGTGGCCCTGAGTTCCATAAGAAAGCAGACTGAGCAAGCCATAGGGAGCAAGTCAGTAAATAGCACTCACCCTTGGCCTCTGTCTCAGCTCCTGCCTCTCCAGGTTCCTGCCCTGTTTGAGTTTCTGTCTTAACTTCCTTCAGTTAAGGATTACAATGTGGAAGCGTAAGACAGATAAACCCTTTTCTCCCCAATTTGCTTTGGACATGGTGTTTCATCACAGCAATAGTAACCTTAACTAAGACTCCACCTCTCCAGCAGCCCATCAGTTGCCAACAGCTTCTCTAGGATGGAGCTTCATGACTACCTCCCCATCCACGCTGCAATTATTCACTGACTGGATCTTGTGTGGGTCGTGTGCGGATGCTCACGGCTGCTGTGAATTTATGAGCACAGCAACCTTGTCATGTCCAGAAATGGCATTTCACAGAACTGGAAGAGGTTATTTTAAAACATTTTCAGACAATGGCTTACCGTGTAGGCCAGGCTAGCCTTAAACTCACTGTGTAGCCCAGAATGGCCTCCAACGAGAGTGTCAGCCAACCAGGAGGGATGGGGAAAGGAGAGAGGTTACCTTATATGTCCAATAGTTCTACGTTGCTCAAGAAGTGTTTTCCAGTAAGGAAATAAAGAAAGCAAACAAAGAGCAAAACTAACAAGAAGAAGCAAAATTGCTGGAGCCACCCAGGGAATCAGTCAGTTCATCTCCTTGACTATCTACTTAAGTGTTCTAGTACCCGCCATGGCCCTGAGAGTTTCAGTTGAAGCTCAGCTGAAGTTCCTACTGGACCCCCAGTTACCCATGTGGCTCTTAATACTATGGCATCACTGGAAGACTAGTCAGTGCTCCTGACTGCTGAACCATCTCTACAGCCCACAAAACAACTTTTGAAAGTTTAGCCACAGATGTGAGGCGCACCCACAAGAGTGTACAGGTGTGGAAATTGCCCTGACAAGACTCTGGAAGTTCTCTCCCAGATTTAATGAACAAAGCTGAAACTGTGCACCACAAGCTGGTTCACGCTTGAATCCCAACACTCAGAAACATGAGGCAGGAGAATTGCTGTGACCTTGAAGCCTGTTAGGGCAAAGAATAAGAAAGAATTTTTTAAACAGAGGAGGTGAAGGCGGGTGTAGAGAGACAGAAAGTCTAGCAGAGACAGACAGACAGACATTGAGAATAAAGGCCATTATCACTAGTTATCAGGTTAGTGTGCATATAGAAATCTTTCAATGCAGTGATTCTCAATCTTTCTAACCCTATGACCCTTTAATACAGTTCCTCATGTTGTGGTGACCCCCAACTATAAAATTATATTCCTTGCCTTTTTTTTTTTTTTTTTTTTTTTTTAGTTTTTTTTAGACAGTGTTTTTTTTTGTACAATTCCTAACTTTCCTGGAAGTCACTCTTTAGACCAGGCTGGCCTGGCCTTGTATTCACAGAGATCCGTCTGCCTCTCCCTCCCAG